TAAGAATGGGAGTGGGCACAAAGAATGAAGAACAGGAACCAAAAACTACCAACTTAATTGTTATGTGTATATATTTATAAGGTTTCTGAGAGATACTATTCATTAGCTGAGTCCGTAAGTCATTATTATTATTATTGTTAATTGATAGGTGTGGTCTTACAATGTCCTTTTTAGTTTGTCGTGTTGAAACTGGTTGATCCTGCCCACTAATGAGGACAAACCAGTTTGTCTGATTCCTAGTAGTTCACTCTCAGTATTGATTTTCCTTCTATCACAGGAGAATTTTGTAGCAAAAGTAATTCTTAAATTATTTATTTATTTATTATTATTATTATTATCATTAGGTGTTAATGTATGGTAGTGCGTTAGTAGCTGAGGAGGTGTGTCACTTGAATCGCTGGGACCAATGTTCCCTCCCTCTCAATGCACTGGAGACTGGACTGGAACTGAGGCAGTTGGACATAGTGTCATTCTTCCTTAGGAACAGAGGTATTTACAGTAACACTGATACTATTTATAGTACCAATGATACTATTTATAATAGTAATACATGATGCTATTTATAGTAACACTATTGCATATACTACTTACATGTATAGTAGTATCGATAACGTACAATGTACATGTATGTAAATGTGAGGCATACAACGTACATGTACATGTATCTATGGAGACAGATAGACAGACACAATTCTTGCTTTTTTGTCTTAGTAGGGCTTGCTTTGGCTTGCATACTTAATGTATTTATCATAGAATTAAAAAAATAAATCAATTAAACATTATGCTAGTCAATCAACTATTTTGATGGACAATATTTATCTCTAATGTAACTAGCAATAGATTTCTCTTCTATTGTATCCAGTGCTGTAGCTATTGATGACCAACTGGGACCTCCTTTCTCTCTCACTTTATCTTCTCCTCTTAACCAGGCAGACATACACTGTATCAGACATGGCTTACATTCTCCATGATCCTTCTTTATAGCATTTAGTGTTGGATCATATAATCCTAAATGAAGTCCAAACTGATACCATTTAGTACAATCCAATTGATTGAGTATTGTTAGCTCTTCGATGAAAATATCAAGTTCTTTAATATCTATTTTTAAAATAATTAATAATGTGTAAATACTTTGTACAGTCCACACTCCCACTACTTGACAATTGTGATAGTACATATTATAACATACCTAGCTTTATTGGAGCCAATGGCTTGTTGAATTCTTCAGTTATTTCAATCACTTCCTACACACAATAATAATAATAATAATAATAACTGATGTGCTTGTTTATCAAGGTGATAGTGTATTGCTGAAAGGTGAGTTTAACATATGTACAGTGTATTATTAGTAGTAAAAGCCACACAATGACAACCCACAATTATGATAAAGACTAAGTAATTTGATAAGAAATAAAATTACTTTTTAAGGATATGACCTTTTGATTATTAGTGCTTGTATTAATGTATCAAACAGTTTGTGTGTGTTAATTCTTACCTTAATATCACGTCCTCCTAATAGTGACAGGTTACTAATATCTGATAATGATTCATCAGGTAGGATCTCCTTCAGTTTTGTTTGTCCCTTATTGCTCACAAGAAACGGTTTTCTTTTATTAATCGCCAACAATACATTATATATGCCATAAGTTGTCCTTTCTCTTGGTGTATTCACAGGATAGGCTAGTTCTTCAGGATCAATAAGTAACTCTTTTACCTCTAGACTGGGACAGGATTCTTTATAAACACTCATTACCTCTCCTATCACATCTCTTCTTAGAGACACCATATTGTCACTGTAACCTTTCTCACAGGACATCATTACTAGTACACACTGGCTCTCATCCACAATCTCTACTAATGCTCTTACACCATTTTCATCAAACCAGTGAAGACCATTTCTCCAAAATTTACAGTAACGATTTAACTTGTCGTTTTCTTGAGGTAGAGCCATTTTATAAGCAAGACGTAATGAGAGGACGTGAAAGTATCGAGGAGGAAAGAAATGATGTTTACTAGTACACTGCAGACACCAACCAAACTGGTACACTTGACTAGTCATCTCATCAGGTCTATCAGTAGACAAAAGACATGGAAAATACAACAACCTTTCTCTTCTTTCTATCCCTGCCTCCTCCTCCTCTTCCACTGCTAACTGATGGAGGTTTGTCATTCTTAGAAAAGATGGACTAATTTCTTCACAGAGTTCCAAGCTCTTTTGAAAACGAATCAGCATGTCAGGATCATATTTAGGAAAGAGTCTATTCAAACAAGATACACTAACAATACCAGTATTGCTAGCAATGTCAACGTGTTCTTTGAATGTCTCTGGAGCAAAGAGAATCCCATCCACTTCAGTTAGTAGTATACCTTTATTAACAACAACCCATACCTTGTCTTCACTTTTAAGAACACTGATCAAACCAGTTGAGTGCAATGAATGAAGCACATCCAAGACATCTTCTGTCTTATCTGGTATGAAGTAACCATCATTGTCCTTACCAGTAGACATTACATCAGAGAGGGTCAGTAAATTCGCTTTCCTTTCCTCCAGTAGACCATACATCATGTGACAATAAAGACTCAAATTCCTTCCACTTGTACTACGAATGGACCCACAGGCACTAGACAACTTGTCAAAGAAGGAATCCACACCACTCCCACCAAGCTTACGACAATCTAAGAAGACAGTATCACAGCTTTCCCTTACAATAATGTCCTGTATTTCTTCCTTTTTCCTCCTTTCAACAGTACTCATCTTATCCACATGACTTACTATTACAATAACATGGCATTGATTAAGAGCTTTGTGTGCTTCATTTCTGATAACTGTTAGCCACTGATGAAGCTGTTTGACTGGTTCCTTCTCCAATATATTGACTACTATCAGGAACACACCACCAGAACCTTGTAACAGATTCTCAATGACAGCACTATGACTGGAGTAGTATTCCGAATGACCAGCAAAATCATGAAGAATGATGTTACCCAGTGTCCTGTGTCTTAGTTTATAAGGAATGATACCAGCAGTACAGGGCACTACCCCTCCAACATATCTAAAGGAACCAAGAACAAAAGGGCCAGTAGCTGTGCCATTGATGACATGACTGAGGGTACTTTTACCAGCTCCAGGATTACCCACAAGAAGAACATTAACATAAGAATCAATTGGATGAGATAATTTTATATCATTAGCAAACTTATTAAAGACAGAAAGAGCATTAGCTCTTTTCCCCTCCTTAGCTAATTTAAATGGTGTACTCCCCTCATTGTCTTTAGCCAATGGATCACATTTACCAGTTGATAGTAAGTATTCAACAGCTGCAGGAGCATACCAAGTTTCAGCAGCAAAATGAAGAGGTGTCCACCCCCTCCTGTCAACAGTCATTGGATCATGGTTCCACTCATTGATTAGATATTTGATTGCATCAGGTGAGTTCATGTTAGCTGCTGCATGAAGAACAGTTTCACCATTTTTGGTAGTAGCCATTGGATCACAGTGACACTCATTAATGAGATACTTTACGATATCAATTTGTCCAGCAGCACTGTGAAGAACAGTCTGACCCAAGTTGTTAGTAGCCATTGGATCACAGTGACACTCATTAATGAGATACTTTACAGTATCAATGTGTCCAGCAGCACGGTGAAGAACAGTCTCACCCCAGTTGTTAGTAGCCTTTGGGTTACATTGATAATTATTGATCAAGTACTTTGTGACTTCAAGTGATCCTTTCTTTGCTGCTTTGTGAAGAACAGTATATCCAAACTTATCAGTAGCCACTGGATCACAGTGACACTCATCAATGAGATATCTCATCACATCAACATGATTACCTTCTGCAGCCCAATGAAGACAAGTCTGACCATCACTATCTCTTTCGTGTGGGTCACAGTGATATTTAGTGATGAGATCTTTTGTAACATCTAACCAGCCATACCTTGAAGACAAATGAAGTAAACTAGTATTATCCCATATCATATCATATTTTCTTTTAATTTTATTTGGTTCCTTCACTAATGGTAGTAAGCGAACAGCTTCTTTATGATCTTTATAGTCAAATGCAGCCCAACACTTGTCCTCTAACGACATCTTGTGATCAGTTTATAATTAAATTCATTGTCACCACTGAGCCCACATAAGCAGGAATTCAATTATACACTAAACACACATACCAGTGTGACTGAGAGAGAGAGAGGGAGAGATTGCTTTTGCCAAGAATTGGCTGTAAAATAATTTCTCAATTTATATATCAATGTCCTTTTGATAGTTTTTGAACTGATTCTGAGCACACATGTAATAATAGTGTTTACCATACAGCTGGAATATGGCAAGAAATTAGTATTGGCAGTTGTAGTAGTATAAGTTTGCCATTTTGCTTTATTCGTCATATGCTCAATTACTCATGGCTGCTAATTCCTAAATCACCATTATGTAAAT